TATGCCTGAGCTCTTCAAATATATTCAGATGGGGCTGCAGAATTTCGAGGAATACCAAGTCTGCTCAATCACCGTAGGAGTGATTGGTGACATTTGCCGTGCCATAGATGAAAAAATCGCACCTTTTTGTGATCAGATCATGGCTCTCCTCATCCATAACCTTAAGAGTGATGCACTCCACAGATCGGTGAAACCTCCAATATTCTCATCCTTTGGAGACATTGCGCTGGCGATCGGTGCAAATTTTGGTAGGTATGTAGCTCCAGCTCTTCAGATCATGCAAGGGGCTGCTCAGGTGTGCGCGCAGATGGACACCCTCGACGAGGAGCTTATGGATTATGCAAACCAACTCCGGAGGAGCATCTTCGAGGCTTACTCTGGGATACTACAAGGGTTCAAGGATGAAAAGGCAGAGCTCATGATGCCCTACGCTCAACATCTCTTGCAGTTTGTTGAGCTCGTATCCAAAGATTCCTTGAGGTCTGTATTAGAGTTTACAATGTCATCTGGTTTCTGTTACACAGTAGTTTCACCGCACATTATTGACTGACGTTTCTTGTGTTTCGATTTGGGATCAGGGATGAGAGCGTGACAAAAGCCGCTGTTGCAGCAATGGGTGATCTTGCGGATGTTTTAGGAGAGAACACGAAGCAGTTGTTTAACAACTTCACCTTCTGTGGTGAGTTCCTCAATGAGTGTCTCGAATCAGAGGATGAAGAGCTCAAGGTCACTGCACGTTGGACTCAAGGGATGATCGCAAGACTCGTGCACTCATCGTAATGATAAGCCTTTTGAGTAATGGATAAATGCTTAGCTACTGGTGGTCTTCCTCTTTTCTCTGTCGAATGATGTGGGATATTTTTTTTGGTCAAGGCCTAAGGGGAGAGATTTTGGAAACTGTTTTTATTGCTCGAGGCAAACTCTGTTTCGAGCCTGTCTCTTTTTTTTTTACTCTGTAGAAAAACTCTGTTCTTCTTCTTTTTTCTTTTTGGTCGTTAATGCATCATCCACTTATCGGTGGTCTCCTTCGAGTCAATTTTCTGTCTTCGTACCTTTCATTCTTTTATATATTTACCCATGGAACAGGGAGATTTTGTGTGATTGATCGATCTCGCAAACAAATTTCCGCATAACAATACAGGTCAAGGCACATAACGCCGATGATACTCAAAAGGCAAACTGCGAGATATCAGCACTTCAAGAACTTCGTTTATACAAAAGTGCCAAATTTTTCTTAAAAGATGACGACATTGCATTACACCAATAAAAACTAAAACCCCCACCACATCAAGACTCAAGAGGAAGAGAAAGTATCGATGATCAAATCAGCCACAAACATATTCAATTTTCCAAATTTATCATTGGAATTCATCTCACGTAATTTTACATTAAGAAGCGAGCTGGAAACGGCCGCTGGGTTTTTTTCTTCTCCATCCCTAACAAAACCCCACAAAAACATATGATTCTTCAGACACGGTTACAAAAGACAAAACTGGAGAATAACATGCAAAATGAAATGGGACTTACAAAGGCAATATAATATAGAAAGGTCAGACCAGCCAGGATAACAAACCCGATTTGGAACACGTTGTACCTGAGATAATATCAAATCGATCGCTTAATAAGACAAGAGACAGATATTTAGAATAAGGGCTGCTACATGCTAAACCAGTACTACTTACTTGTAGAGGTACTTAATTCCCCGAAGGGACTGCAATGTGTGGCCAAAGATTTCCTGGGCAGCAGTGGCTTGCGCGTAATATCCAAATGCAGTGGCACAAAACTGAATCACACTGCAATTTTAAAGAACCACGTTTATTAAGATTGTGATGGAAAATGCAGTTACACAATGGATCCGATTTTATATCCTAGTGAATTTGATCCCATTATTCTAGTAGTGAGAAGATACAGGAAGCAGAAAAAGAAGATACCAGAGAGACCTACCTGATGGAACATAGAAGAATGAGCCCAACATTGAAGAGGAAAGAGTTCATTAGAGTAGCTCCCCATCTGAAAACAAGTTGATATGGCCAATTAGATATTAAAGAAAAAGGAATGACCTTGGAAAATAATCAAACATTGTCAAAACAATTTAGATGGGTTACTTCATCGGATAAATGGTAATGAAGACCAGCTTCAAACCCAGCATCATTGCCCCAGCGATAACAGCAAGTAGAAGGTAAAAACAGAAGAAAGCAAAGGCAGCAGTGCCTAGAAGACCTGGAGAATTTCGCACATACCAACATATAGTCAGGCAGGCACATAAGGAACCTTGTATTAGTGTATAGAATAACATAACAAGAACAGATGTATGAACTTACCCCAAACGTCATCAAGCTTAATGAAAACCTCGTTAAGAAAAGGAGAGAGAGGAGGGTCGACAAGTAGATATATGATGATGTGTGCAACCCAAGCAATAGAAACGATCAATCTACAAAGACATATCAAATTACCATTAAAAGGAAGCTTAGCTAGGGATCTTCAAAATGCCTATATATACAAGACCTCTATGAATAATAATAAAACATTTAGCCAATAAACTATGGCTATAACACAAAAAAAATATAACAAAGACTATTTTCTAATAAAATACTAACCCTAAGATTCCAAGAATAAACTTGGCCAAGTATCCGAGTACAGTGAAAGCCCATGCAGTTTCTGCCTGAAAAGAACAAGGCCATAGAATAGTTTGAATAACTCAAAGATTATAGATAATGTTCTAAGATACACTCGTCTTACCTTCTCTCCTTGAGGATACGCCTCTTCTAAGAGATTCACATCTTCCTCCAATTGAAGCAACTCCTGCGGGTTAGCCAAATTCAATTACAGGATTGAGGGGGCAGTAAAAACTTTAAAATCCAATATAAAGCACAAGAAAGCTGCCTACTATCTCAGCAGCTTCTAACTGCAAATTACCATCCAAATAACTGTTCATATGACCAAAGCTTCTTTACACATGAGGGACCAGTCTCGATAGGAAATTTTCCAAGTTGAACTATGAAAACAAAAATTTAGATAAAAAAAAAAAATTAAGATAAAGAATGTACCTTTTCAACTGCTTTCACATTTTTCTTCCATTTCCTGCCCTTAGCACCACTTCTTTCTTCCTGATGAAGTCCATCAGCTGCTTTCTTTAGTTCTCTTGCCTTTTTACCTAGTTCAGTTGCTTCCTGGGAGTTTACCAAGAAAGTGAGAGTGGAAATGACTAAAAGTGTAGAACACATGCTAACTGAGTAGAACAATAACCAAACCTTTATATATTGTGACCGAGTGATAACAGCCTTTGGTCGCCTGATAAACGCAGTGATAAGTCCTAATGGTAGGCAGGCAATACCGACGCCACCAAATATCTAGAAACATTGAAGAGGAATTTCAAAATCAAACACCAATTAAATACAAAGGATACGGAATTAGATCGCGCCATGCATCTCATTTGTCGAGAGCTTGAATAGACAATGACGAATCCATTATATAAGACATGTTCAATCCATTCCAAGCATACAAGGCACTTCTCAACATGATAGAACAATGCTCATACCGTGAAAAGAACTGACCCAACAATTGTAGCAAGAGCAACAACGTATTCTGGAAAAGTAGTACGCATGGTCCACGTTTTCTCAGATGTGACGTTAGCTGTAAATGCCGAGCACTGCATCGATTAACCAGAGACAGAGGAAATATGTTACATGCTGAAACTCTCTACGGCATAAATTAGAAATGCCAACGCTGCAATCAAGAAGCAAATATTACCTGGCGAGCGGTGTTACCGATACATGGCTGATTATCTGAAAACTGCCAGGAAGTAGGGAAAGTGGTCGTAGCAGAAGCCAAATGCCTGACAGAGAAGTCCACCTTTCCAATGACACCTAACATGATGTGAAAGAGCATAAATATATCAGCTGAAATTAACAACGGAATGCAGTGAAAAGATGTCAAATCATAGTTCAGATAAGACTAACATCAGACATTCGTCCATACTACATACTCACTAATGGCTTTTCAATTACCACTCCACAATTTTGGTCAATCCAGGATTATAAAAGGAGAAACTCACCGTATAAAATTCCAAGCACCAGAGCACAAACCACAGCCGTGGTTACCACCCAAATTAAGGCACTTTTTATCCTCTTTCCCAGACTCCTGAAGAAAAGAAAGGAAGCGGTCAACGATATTCGATAAAAAGAAAGCTTACAAATGTGCAAAAATGTGATCGAGATACGAACTTGTCCTGGTCGCCTTCGTAGAAAAACATTGCGAAAGGGATGACAAAGAAGACGAGAATAGCGTCCACGATGTAAATGACAAGCCAGAGATCCTTCATGGGCAAGGTGAGATTGCAAGCGCCGTTGTAAATAGCATGCCGACAAGCATGCCGATTAGCCACATCCGCCGGTAACATGAGAATCGAGATCATGGCAACAGACAGGCCGAAAACGACGACGAATTTGGGGAAATACGCCTGGTTTGCATCATCCGGATGCTGGTAGTTGACGAGGAGATAGATGCTAGAGATGAAGACGATGACGCAAACAACGATCGCTACAATCACGAGAGCGAGGTTGAAATCGCCCATCGTGTGCAATGTAACTACAAGGTCCCCCTCAATTCAAGAGATTCCGATCCCGTGAACGATTTGAAGGTGCAGCAACCCAATTGAAAAGCTGGGGTTTTCACGGTAGTTCAAAATTTAAAAATTGAAATTGGGGATTTTTAGTAGTAGATCTGACCTTTTTTTTCCCTCTCGAAAACCAGACGGAGGAAGGGGAAAGAGGACTAGGTGGGGATGAACGTTCTACTATTACATAAGTGCCCTCACTTATTAAATGTATTTACGTAGGATTATGGCGCCAGTGCCAGATGGCGTTGGGTATAAGCGTAATTATAGGTTTGGAGACAAGCTGTCCGAAGAAAATGATTGAGCCAAAAATTTCAGCTTGTGAAAGAGATCTCCGAACGGCGCCGTAACGGAATTAAACCGGACAGACATTCTTTTTCAGGCGAAAAAGGTCATTTAATTACTACGCTTCAGCTTCGGAAACCAATTCATCAGAAGCAAAAAAAATCCAAATATGTTTTTGTTATCTTATATTATATCAATGAAATTCAACGGCTCTCTTTGCCAAAACTCTGCAACAATACAAGTAGTTTGAGTAAATAGTATGATGCGCCGCCTATCGTCGCGAACCGAAGCTCTTCTGTTCCTTCAATCTCTGGAAAATCTCCTTCGGTTGCTCTATTAAAACCTCCGGCTAACCATCCTAAGCTTTTGTAACCTTCTCCGTACATCTTCGATATTGCCATCAACGACCTGAGATTTGCGAGAAACCGCTTCACATTTTTACCAAACAAAACCGAAATCGGATTGGTCTGGTTCATTATCGATCCTAAACCAAGTAAATAAAACGATCAGCAATTTACCTGAGTCCTTCACCGCACACGACGAGCACTTTACTCTCCTTGTCCGGGAGAGCCTCTAGAACACGGAGGGTGAATTCGTCATTAAACATGGTGAATCTCTGGCCCGTCCAAAGCCCAATGTATCCAAGATGGATCCATTTCTTCAGCAGCGTTATTGGCCCGTTGTCTGTATCCTCCACGAAGAGTGGCACGTGTAAGGACCCTTTCACACGTGCCTTTTCTCTTTCCCAAGACGGCCTCACGTCTAACATCACGTATCCCTCAGACGCCAATGCCGTCTTCGCTTCTCTCGGCTCCACCGCCCGGACCTCCCCTGAAGTTACCAGCTGCTTACCGGATACGGCGGAGATCACTGGTAATCTGTACGGTTTTCGGAGGCGTCGGTATGGCACTAGTGGTGGCTTGTGGATATGGTTTGGTTGAGGAAGAAGAAGTGTCATCTCTACTTTTTTTGGATGGATTTTCTCTTAGGGAATTTAACCAGTTTTATCTTTCTTTTAGATTTCTTGCTTGCTGTGAGGATTCTAATCTTGAGCCAATATAAAAAGTCGTCTATTTCTTTTTTTCAATTTCCATTTTATGTCCTCAGATAATTCACAATTTTGACCATTTCTCTCGGTTAAGAGTTTGAGAAAAAAACATACCATTACTAGTGGGCCAAATTGTAAAATATAAAACTTTAGAGGTCACATAGTGTAAATTACTTCCTTTTGCACGGAGCCGTGGTTATGTATGTATGTTGTTCGTGTTAACCTTGGATTTAATTTTGTCATATCAAACCGAACGGTTTGTGAAGCACTTATAATTCCAAACCGGTACGGCATGTTCCAGTTGAGTTTTAATTGAAGAAGATCGAGTGAGAAGGAATAGCGAATCAAGAGAAGAAGAAGAAGGAGGAGGTAGAGCAATGGGGGTCGATTATTACAAGGTTCTTCAAGTGGATCGGAGTGCCAAGGATGACGATTTGAAGAAAGCTTATCGCAAACTCGCTATGAAATGGCATCCCGACAAGAACCCTAACAGCAAAAAGGAAGCCGAGGCCAAATTCAAGCAGATCTCTGAAGCATACGATGTAAATTCTATTACACCATCTCTGAATTTTTATTCCCTATGCAACGAAATTCGTTTTCTTTCTTATAGCAATAATCAATCTTTCTTAAAGAATTTGAATTTTGAGCAGGCTCTGTAGTCTCTCAATTCACTTTGGTGACTTTTTTTCCTTGAAAAAAGATTGGATAAAGTTACCAAATCACGAAACTTTTTTGAGGATAAAACTGATCATGATCAATTCTTATGATGTTTCGATTGGTTGCATTTGACCCAAGGTTTTAAGCGATCCTCAAAAGCGAGCTATCTACGATCAATACGGAGAAGAAGGTCTAAATAGCCAGGCTCCGCCTCCCGGAGCCGGAGGTTTTCCGGGTGGATCAGACGGAGGAGCTTCGTTCCGATTCAACGGTAGAAGCGCCGACGACATATTCTCGGAGTTCTTTGGCTTCTCAAGACCCTTCGGTGACTCACGTGGTGCAGGTCCCTCTGGTGGGTTCCGGTTCGCTGATGACGTTTTCTCGTCTTATAGGTCCACTACAGGAGAAGCCTCTAATGCTCCACCACCGAGGAAAGCTGCTCCTATTGAGAGACAGCTTCCTTGTAGTTTGGAGGATTTGTACAAAGGAATCACTAAGAAGATGAAGATCTCTCGGGACGTCCTCGATTCGAGCGGGTCAGTTTTCTCTACTTCCTTCAACCTTTTTAGCCTTTGTTTTTTCCAGCTACGAATTGAGTGTCATCTTCTTCTGGAGTTAAAAAAATTCTGAATTTTGCTTATGAAGTTGCTTCTAAAGATTTACTTAATATCTTGAGTTGTGTTGCTCTATTTTTCAGTTTAGAAACTAGCCATTGGATAGATTCTGTTGACTTGATGAACAGTGAAGTTATGTGAACTTTGTTTTTTTACTGGCGTTGTTGGGCACTTGCAATCCATTTGCACTTTTCAGACATTAGAGTTTCTTGTTGTGTCTTTGTTCCAATGCAGGAGACCGACAACGGTGGAAGAGATCTTGACGATAGAAATAAAGCCGGGATGGAAGAAAGGGACGAAGATAACCTTCCCGGAGAAAGGAAACGAGCATCGAGGAATCATACCATCAGATTTGGTGTTCATAGTTGATGAGAAGCCACACGCCGTGTTCAAGCGAGACGGGAACGACCTTGTGATCACGCAGAAGATCCCTCTCGTGGAAGCCCTCACGGGTTACACCGTTCAGGTCACGACTCTTGACGGAAGAACGATAACAGTTCCTGTCAACAACGTCATCAGCCCTTCCTATGAAGAGGTTGTGAAAGGTGAAGGCATGCCCATCCCTAAAGACCCTTCAAAAAAAGGCAACTTGAGAGTCAAATTCAACGTCAAGTTCCCCTCGAGGCTAACAACAGAGCAGAAAACTGGCATCAAACGGATGTTTTCGTCTTCTTAGCCATCTTTCTTTCTTTCTTTCTTTCTTTCTTTCTTTCTACTACGTTTGATTTCAGTTGGATCTTTGGGCGGTCGTTGTCAAGTGCGTAGGAGTGTGGCCGTGTAGGTGTTTGTGTGGGAGATTGTGAGATCATTAACAGTGTCGTTTTACTTCGCCTTTGAGTTTCTCAACGTCTTTCAAAGCTTTTGGTTTGGGGTTTTAGTATATTTTCTTTGTTCTTTTCTTTTAGATTGTTATTAGATTGAAAAAGAAGAACAAAATAAAGATTCTTAACAATTTTTTATTATATTTAATTTGATTAGAGCTCGTTATAAACTCCTGCATTCTTTTCTATACAAGCTCAACAGAAAGGTTACTAAAAAAATTATGTTGATAAAAACATATCGATACATCCTTTCTGTTTTTGTTCTAACAGCCTTCCACATGTTTGTCTTTGTTGTCTTTGTCACAACAAAGAGACCACGGTCACGTGATTGGGTTTAGAGAGTTAGAGTGGGTGATAAATTGTGAATTAGTTTCTGATATAGATAAAACATGAGTATCCTTCTTTCCTCTTCAAAAAAATAATATCAATTAGTAAAACATTATTATACTGTAACAACAACAAAACTATTCTCACGTTATTACGTTAACTTCAACTTTTGTAAAAATAACGGATGACGGCAGACAATAAGAAACATCAAGCATGTTTTGGCATGAGAACACGAGAGTTGCAATTTTACACTTCCGTTAGTAGTGGAAATGTTTTGTGTCCATGTCGTCTCTTTATAATTAACAAAGAACCCATCCTCATTATCGTACATCTCTCCCTCTTCGTCTTGGCTTAAGCTTACTCTTTCTTCCCGTTCATTTCAAATGGCACAAATGTATTCTTCAGTGAAACCCACGCCAATGCTGAAAGATGAGCTAGACATCGTGATACCAACGATTCGAAACCTAGATTTCCTTGAGATGTGGCGACCGTTCTTTGAACACTACCATCTGATCATCATTCAAGATGGTGATCCTTCAAAAACCATCAACATTCCTGAAGGTTTTGACTACGAGCTCTACAACAGGAACGACATCAATCGAATCTTGGGTCCCAAGGCTTCTTGCATTTCCTTCAAGGACTCTGCTTGTCGTTGCTTTGGTTACATGGTCTCCAAGAAGAAGTACATCTACACCATTGATGATGATTGCTTTGTAAATGCCCCCCTGTCTCTATCTCTTTTTAGCTAGAGTTAATTAATACTTTGAGTTGACTTAAAAATTGGTGAACATGATTGATTGACGAATTTGATCTCAGAGTTGACAATTATAAACTGTGCAATGTAGGTTGCAAAGGATCCATCTGGAAAAGAGATCAATGCACTTGAGCAGCATATCAAGAACCTTTTATCTCCATCAACTCCACATTTCTTTAACACACTTTATGATCCATACGGAGATGGGGCAGACTTTGTTCGTGGATACCCTTTTAGTATGCGCGAAGGTGCCACAACCGCGGTTTCTCATGGCCTCTGGCTCAACATTCCTGACTATGATGCTCCCACTCAGCTTGTGAAACCTCTTGAAAGAAATTCCAGGAAATTTGATCTACCAATTTTCTTGTGCCTCCTTTTTTCTTCTTTTCTGAAAGCTTAAACGATGCTTATTGGTTAAGTCTTTTTGGGGTTATATATGCAGGTATGTTGATGCAGTCATGACCATTCCCAAAGGAACCCTTTTCCCTATGTGCGGTATGAACCTAGCTTTTGATCGGGAGCTGATTGGTCCGGCTATGTATTTTGGACTTATGGGTGATGGGCAGCCAATCGGACGCTACGACGACATGTGGGCTGGTTGGTGTGTCAAGGTAGACTCGTACATAGTGAAACAATAAACCACTAGCTAGACTGGTCAAATGCAACTCTTGTTCATTGCTTTTGTAATTTGGTTAAACCAAAAATGTAGGTGATATGTGACCACATGGGGTGGGGAGTGAAGACGGGTTTGCCTTACATATGGCACAGCAAAGCTAGTAACCCATTCGTGAACCTGAGAAAGGAATACAATGGAATCTTCTGGCAAGAAGAGGCGATACCGTTCTTTCAATCTGTGACTCTTCCTAAAGAATGCACTTCGGTGCAGCAATGCTACATCGAGCTGGCTAAGCTCGTGAAAGAGAGACTCGGGAAGGTGGATCCTTACTTCATCAAACTTGCAGATGGAATGGTCACTTGGATCGAAGCTTGGGAGGAGCTTAACTCTCCTCATGGAACTGAGGCCAGGGCACCAAACAGTGGCAAAATTTAGTAAAAAAAGAGAAGGCCACTCCGAATAAAAGCAAATGGTATTGTTACTAGATGATGAGGGTTTTTGTGAGTCACATGTGTAAACCCTCTCTCTTTTTCTTAATTATTGTTGCAATCGCTATTGTTAATTAGTATTACTTGTCATCAGTATTTGTGTTCTCAGGCCATTTGTCAGCAAAAACATTGGTGTGATGTATGGTTTCTATCTATGAATTTTCTATCTATGAATTTTCTATCATTCCTATTTTCCTTAGGTTTCAAATGTGTCAATAATGTGTTGAAAATTGTAAAAGAATAGGTTTAACATTTGTTCTCTTTCTTCTCTTTTTGTGTGTGGGGAAGCAATGTATATGGTAATGGTGACAATCCATTCATTTCGTGTTCGTTCAAAAGTGAAACGTTGCATTTGTCAGCAATTTTTACTAGTATTCAAATTTGAATATTATTTTTGTCTTTCAGAGTAGAATCAATTCAATTCATCAACTTCAGAAACTCCAAAGTTAATTGAAACTTTGCATTTACAAAACCAATTTAAAAGAAATATAAGGCTAGGGAAGTTGAAACTTAAGAAGATAGAGATACGACTTAAAAGAGGATTAAAGAATTTGGGAATTACCCGCAAAACAGAGCTAGAATTTATCAATCTCAACGCCATCTCTCAAAACCTCATAAGCATCACGGCTTCTGGTTTTCTTCATCCCTGCCGTGAAATGGACCTTTGATGAATCTGCTGAGATACTTGTGACTTTAACCCATATCATTACTTTTGTTTTCACCCCTTCAACATCGGCTAGCTTTCCTTTCTCGAGAAATCCGGTAACTGTTGTGGTGAATCTCAAGACCGATGAATCTTTGTAGCCAACTTCGCAGACTGAAGGAATAAAGACGGTAAGCTTCCTCGTCTGTTCATTGAACTCGTAGTTGGTTGCATCGCGTGGAAAGATCCCAACAGGCAAACCAAACTCCTTTAGTAACTCGGGCAATGGCTTCTGCATTTTCCCTGATAACAAAGAAAACAGAAATGATTGGAATTTGGATTTGTGGAGGAATGATGTGATGTCAGATGAAACAGCAAGAACGAGTAGAAAAACAAAACAAAAAAACTGACCTTTGATTTTGTTCACCAACCATTTTGTTCCTCCTTCGATGCTGGTAGACAGAGACTGGAATAAAAAAAAATGTTATAGAGAATGCAAGATCAACATTCCATTACTGAACTAAAGGGGAAATTTTCCATCATGTTCTAGAGAAACACAAAGAACATAACTTGCACAAAATCACCAAAAAAAGTCTCGGTGAGCTTGAAAATGAGAATCACAAGAGATTGAACGGATCTCGAATGAGAATCGCTATCATTAACTTGAATCTGAAACTTAAAAAGCTCTCTAATACTACTTGAGATATGATCTACTCTTAAAGATCTTCTTCCTTTTACGACGCAATTCACCTTATATATCACCGAAAACGACAGATTTGCTAGAAAAAGAAAAAAAAAAGCAGTAGATCAGGCGGAATTGCGCATCTAAGTGAAGAATCAACGAGGTACACCACCATTTATCAGACTAAGCAACACAGATAGAAATTGAGGATCCACAGAATCAAAATACCCAAGAGCATCGGATCGAAATCAGAAATCGAAAGCGAAACTTGAATGAATCGAGACGAGGGATAAAAGCAAGTAGTATAGTGAATGGGAGTAGAGAGACACGTACGTTGATATCGTCACCGACGGAATCGAGCTGCTTGTTTGCCTTCTTACCTAACCAGTACGATCCCACCTTGTTCAAGATCTGATCCATTTCTCTCACTCAGTGATCGTCTCTCTCTCTCGCCGAGATCGGAGGAAGTTTTTTCATTTCATTTCGTTTCTTTTACAGCATTATAACAGCCAATAATTTATTGACACGTAGCAAAACGCAAAACAGATGTGGATTGTGGAACTAAACAATTTTTCACTCTAATCAACAATATTTAAACAAACATTTTTACGGAAAGTTTGTTACGGATAGTGAAAAGAAAAAAAAAATTTCTGGCGTGGTGATGAAAATATGTTCGTGTTCACACAATCCCAATCATTGGTGAAGAGGGCCACCACACGCTCGTACATGTGGCTGAATCTGTTATCGACACATGGTGGAACTCATCCATTGTCATCTCTAGCAGAAACGTCTGAATAAATACTGAATGTTTATATAGCTTAGATTCTAAGTTAAAACGATCGATACTTAACTAAGCTCGTCGTCCTTTAGCATGCATCGTGTCCTTCACAGCATCAAATAGTAAACACAACAGATCATTTATGTTGTTTACAGCAACAAACTGAACACAAAAGCAACATCGCAACCAGCAAATAATTAATTTTTGTTCACAACATCGCATTATTACTAAACAAATACTTTTATTCAAGAATAACGCCGCGCCCCAGCCGCAGCCGCCTCCGCCTCCGCCTTAGCCTTAGCCTTAGCCGCCTTAGCCTTAGCCTTCTCCTCCGCCTTTGCCTTTTTCTCTTCTTCAAAAAATAAAGATTCTTGATTAGTTTCCGTTTTTTTTTGGGATTCAATTATACCTCACAAACGTTAAAAACAAATTAAAAATCATTTCATACCAGCCATTTGGGCGTTTAGATAGTCACGATACATTACCATCCCTGAGATATACGAACTTTTTTTTAAAAAAAAAAGCAATCACGAATCAGTTTTTTTCTCTATCTCTTACAAAAATTAAAATCAGCTATTCTTCTTCGTCTCTGGTGCGATTTTTGTTGTATATTTGTGACGGTTTTACTATTGGTTTACCGTATTATGTGCAACATCATATATATACGTATGTATCTGCAATTTCAAAATTTCGGTTTATTTAAATTCCGATTGGTCTTCATCGCATCCTTAAAAAAAAGAGGGATTATTGTTATAGGAAACAAATATGGAGAGTCTCATTTTCTTACTTTTAGAGTGAACGAGATAGATAATAGTTATACCACATTGGAATCACCTTTCCATTGAGTACGCATATAGCCAAATACTGTATATAAAATGGGTTGATTTTCTCAACGAAAGAATCAGCTTTCGTGATCTTTTGTTTTATCCCACTTATCTCTATTATTCAGCAGGTTCCATACATCAATGGAGAAACTCTCAAACTAGGTAATAGCAGCTGAAATGTATAGAAACTAAAACATTGTTAATTGGAAAATAACACAGAGAAACAATGTGATATAGAAATTGCAAAACAGAAAGAAGATTTTACACGTAAGGAACCGTAGGTGGGTAAAGAGGTTATGGTTTCTAAGCTAAAGCCAAGACTGGTCAGACAGACATATCAAACAAGTGAAGTGGAACCCGTTTCTGTCTATTGCTTGTTTATAATGCTCCAAATGCTGTTACAGGTCTCATAGGCCGTCATCTTATCTGTCTCGAATTGGAACTTCTCAATTACCCTTTTCTCGCGATCTACCATATCTATAGAACATATAAATCAAGGATTTAAAACACTCAAAAGACAAAAGCGAATGAAGGGTCGTGATTAAATAATAAAAAAAAAGTGAAGAGAGTAGAGAGATGATGGAAAAAGAGGATACAGCCTGAGATCTTTGATGGATCATCAATCTTTGGTATAACTTTTGTGACAGAAGCATACATAGAGAGCTTTTTCCTGCAGAGAAAAAAAAAGAGGGAACCGAATAGAGATTGAGGAAACAAATGTACCAACATTCAGAAGAAGCAACTGCAATAATGGGTTTGTGGATCATACTCAGCTCTCAAGTCGTCCCGCTCTTTTCTCTTCATCGATTGCCTCTGTTCATCAATCGATGTCCATTGTGCATTCAGGTCTTTGAGTTCATTAGCGACGACTGTATTGACACAAAAACCAAATCAAAGAAGAAATAAATTTTCATGTCACTGAACCAACGGACTAGGATAAATTTCACTGAGATATTAAACGATACTTATCTAAGCTCGTCCTTTAGATTGCATTCTAGTTTCATCTCTTCGTCAAGCTCTTTCTGAAGACGTTCAATGTCATCTCCAGCCGAAAAATCTGAATACGATTCCTCCGTTTTCTTCTTGCAAGCATCGAGTTTCTTCTTACAATCTGCATTAAAACACACAAAAACCCAAAAATTTCCTCTCTCAAATCGACACTAGTACAGTATCACTCAAATTCCAGCGAAAGCTACATGGTCAATCTTATAAATTATCTTTCTGTCGCAATTTTCTAGAGACCCAAGTCGGAAAACTGACCTTGAATAGATCCCTGTATCTGGCTGAAATCCTCGTCGCAAGCGAAATGGAGAGCTTTCAAGTGGTCGAAACTTTGAGATACCACCTCAAAACCATTCTTAACATTTAATAAGTTGATCAAATCGTCTCCATAAGACATCAGATCCTGGATATCGAAATTCTCCGACAGATTTCCCATTTCTGATCCGGAAAATGATAAATCCACTGTCTTGGGCAGTAAAGCCCTAGCTTTAGATTATCCGAGCCTCAAAACCCTCACCGGGCAAAGCAGATTCCTGAAATGAGGTACTGAGTACGTGATTTTACCTCTTGGCTGTAGAATGAAAAATAAAGGGAAATTTCAGAGGAAAGAAAAACAAAATCAAACGGAGAGAGGAGGGAGCGATGAAGATAAAGGATCTGAAATTTTTTGAATTTCACTTGAAGATCAGTTTAATTTGAGAAACTGTGCTTCTCCAAAAAAAAAACAACGAAAAAATAATAATAATAATGGATTTCGGAAAACAAAGAGAATATAGGCCAAGCCCAATTGTCCCAACAAAAGTTTAGCGCTCTCTTTGACTTCACCATAACTCATTATTTGACGTCGACTTCATAAGTCATAACCGCGTCATACCTCGTCTTCATAATTATGATTTTGTTCGGTATGAAATTATGAATATGTCTTGTGTGTCATTATGTGAATATCATGAAAATTGTTTTGAAGGTCATCTATCTCCTCCACACAAATGGTCTAAAAAGACTTTGACTTTGAACATTTCTACTTCTTCGTCTTACAATTTTGGCATTTAGAGCAATATGTCCATTTGAAATTTGCATAAACTTAATGATCTCTTACTTGTTACCATCAAAGTCAAAAGCTAACGATCCCCAATGGGCATAGCAAGATCCACAGGAGGAACACTCATGTTCTTGCTCATTCTATTATCAAACGCTATTAAAAGTTCCGTTCTTGCTGAAGCGGCAACAACAGAATTCACTTTCCGAGGTTTCAAAGGAAACCAAACGGACATTCAAACAGAAGGAGCTGCGATAATCCAACACAGCGATGATCTACTTAGACTGACTAATCGAAACCACAACGTCACTGGAACAGCGTTTTACCGCAAACCCATAAGATTGCATGAACCATCACACAACAGTTCCTCTGAGATCAAAGTATGTTCCTTTAGCACATCTTTCGTCTTCGTTATAATCCCTTCCATGCCCGGAAGCGGCGGTTTCGGCTTCACATTTACACTTTCTCCGACCCCAAATCGTCCCGGAGCCGAATCTGCTCAGTATTTGGGGCTTTTGAACAGATCTAACGACGGAGATCCGTCGAATCGCGTTTTCGCTGTGGAATTCGACACGGTACAAGGATATAAAGGCGGCGCCGACAGAAGAGGAAACCACATCGGTCTTAATTTCAACAGTCTCTCCTCCTTTGTACAAGAGCCACTCATCTATTACGATACCGACGATCGAAAAGAAGATTTCCAGCTCGAGAGCGGCGAACCAATCGGAGCTCATGTCGACTACGACGGACCCAGCGAAACCTTAAACGTGACCATCTATCCGACGCGATTAGAGTTCGAACCCAAGAAACCTCTGATCTCGCAACAAAATCTGAAGTTGTCGGAGATCGTTGGAGAGAAAATGTACGTCGGATTCACTGCCGCGACTGGAAAAGGCCAGTCGAGTGCTCATTATGTGATGGGTTGGAGTTTTGCTAGCTGTGGAGAAAATCCAGTGGCGGATTGGCTCGATCCCTCGCGGCTTCCTCCTCCGCCGCCGAATACAAGCTTGACTAGCAAGAAAGGTTACGCTTCTCAAGTCATCGCTCTGATTGTATCTTTATCGATCGTCACACTGGTCTTGCTTGGGTTGCTCTTCATATTTGTCATGTACAAAAGGCAAATCGAGGAAGGAGAGGTTCTAGAGGATTGGGAAATCGATTATCCTCATAGATTCAGTTACAGAGATCTCTACTTAGCAACTGAGAAGTTCAAAGAGAGTGAGATCATCGGTTCCGGAGGATTTGGAATCGTTTACAGAGGAAATCTGCCATCTTCAGGCCCAATCGCAGTGAAGAAGATAACTCCACATAGCCTACAAGGTGTTCGAGAATTTGTCGCAGAGATCGAGAGTTTAGGACGATTAAGCCACAAGAACCTCGTGAATCTTCAAGGATGGTGCAAACACAAAAACGACCTCCTGTTAATTTACGATTACGTCCCCAACGGAAGCCTCGACTCGCTGCTGTACATAACGCCGAGAAGAAACGGCATCGTTTTGTCGTGGGACGTGCGTTTCCAGATCATAAAGGGAAGCGCGTCGGGATTGTTGTATCTGCATGAAGAATGGGAACAAATCGTGCTTCATAGAGATGTGAAAGCGAGCAATGTTCTTGTGGATGCAGAGATGAACGCTAAATTAGGCGATTTCGGACTCGCGAGGCTTTACGAACGCGGAACGCTATCGCAGACCACGAAAGTCGTTGGGACTCTTGGGTACATGGCACCTGAGCTCACGCGTAACGGCAAAGGGTCGACCGCGTCTGACGTTTTCGCGTTTGGCGTTTTGCTGTTAGAAATCGTGTGTGGGAGAAGACCGACGAACACGGAGAACTTCTTCTTAGCCGATTGGGTTATGGAGTTTCACACAAATGGTGGAATCCTTGGCGCCGTCGATCAGAATCTCGGATCTGCTTTCAATGGCAGAGAGGCGAAATTAGGCCTCGTTGTGGGTTTGCTATGTTGCTATCAGAAACCAACGTCTCGGCCAACGATGAGAAAAGTGATTACATATTTGAACGGCGACGAGGATGTTCCACAGATTGATGGAAATTTGGGATTCTCGGATTCTTTGAGAGATGATCATATGTCAAATGCTGTAGGTTCTGTTTCATCGGATAGAGCCTCGAGCTCGTCGAATACTTTTTCGTTTTCCACCGAGATTTCTTCGAGCTCTCTCGGTAATGGTAGATAGTTCATAATGATTTATCAGCAAGCTTTTGGTCAACTCATTTACTTGCTTTTGTAAACAGGAATTTTTTTAATATATTGTGGTACAGATTCATTGTGTTATTAGATATTAAGTGTTAACGTTGGATGCAGCCAATATATTATTTCAGATTCAATATATATGCTCCTTCAGTTCCTATATTTTTCTTTGTTCATAGCTAATTAATATGTTCTTTCGAATCCTTTTTTTGGTGTGGATTTCCTTGCGGCTGTGATGGATCACGCCATGTCGAAGAAGTAATTATTTTACGCTCTTTTCTGATATCTCGCATAAGCATCCACCATCGTGTGTGTAAATATAAATAGCCACAAAGCAGAAAGTTGAATTACAACCTTTGCTCTGGTGTTTATACCCAATTATATTACTGAATAAATAGTTTATGTCTCGAAAGGTATATATGCGCAAATGTCAAATATAACATATATTAATTTGATATTACGAGTTTTGAGTAGAATTTCAATGATAAACCTGTGTGGCGAAGCGGTTGCTCATCAAAGGCGAGGTAATGGTCCGTGCGTCGGAGTATGAAGGAGCCGACCGGAGAGCTGTCGTGATCGCTGAGGCTAGACTCATCAGCACGAATATGAGTTCTTCAAGTATGCTCAGTGTCTTTCTCATAATCGGAACTCTGTGTCTCCTCGATTCGATATTGCCGATGTCTAAGAGAGAGAGAGAGAGAGAGAGAGAGAGAGAGAGAGAGAGAGAGAGAGAGAGAGAGAGAGGTGACCTTTTATGCTGACTTTTGATCTGATCTTCGATGTCATTCAGACAAATGAACTGTTCGCTTGATGTTCATGTCCATAAATATTGGTATTTAATGGGACTAATGCATAGGAAACCTTAGATTTTTAATTAAAATACTCCGTATAATGTAAACACATTCCTTTTTTTTTTGAACCAACTCATCGTTTTTTTTAAGAAATAAAAGTTCAATCTTTAAATAGTTAGTTTGAACTTTGAAGTTGAGAAAGTGTTCGAAACATGTCAAGACGAAAGGTACGAGTAGTGTATTTTACAATCTAGATAATCTTCACAGCATGTGTGATGCATTTGTGGTAGCACAAACGTTCATACACTGGACATGTTCAACGGTTGAGCAGTTCTAAGATAGTTGCTATATGCCCCATGATATATGCATAATCTAGAAGCCACCATACTCGAAAGATTCATTAGAATAAGGAATTCTAGTTTCTACTGTTCAAAAATAAACAAGTAATTCAAGTTTGTGTAGTTCAGCTGTTAAAGGTAGTAAATCGGGTAAATAATCGATAAGAGAGTATCATACAAACACAAATAATTCAGATTATCTATAATTATTATGTGAATAAACTCGCATAATATCGGATATCATGCAAGGTACGAATACTTCATACACTTGAAATTACTATTTAAACTTCCACTAGATCGAACAAGGATTAGATTAAAATTTATATAGTTTGGATAATTTGGGTACAGAGTTGGATATCGGATATCATGCAAGGTACGAATACTTCATACACTTGAAATTACTATGTTGTAATTATATGTTCTAACAAAAATTTTCAATTTTCATATTTATCATACATTTTTAATTATGATTTTGATTATGAAATTGACACGATTTCACAAGAATGAGAGAGAAGTGGAAAGAAAACGCAATGCATTGAAGACTTTCCCTTTGTCTCTCTCTTGACAAAATCCCAATTTTCGCATCCTCACTTTCTCTTGCCTTTTTCTCTTCTGCCGCCACCACCACCACCACCACCACTACTGTTTTTGCGCCTCCACTTCCGCCTCAGTCACCGTCGTCGCCATCATCTTACCGCTTCTTCGGATTCCTAGGTTTCCGTTTCCGATTCCCTGTCCATCTGAGGGTTTTTCGAGCTGGATTCTCTGCTCCTGCGCCGCTGGTGCAGCGGCTTTGTTGATTGATCTGGCTTTCTCCTTCTTCGCTTCTAATTTTTGTATCTGTTTCTCGCCCAATCCAAACAAAAAGCTAGGGCTGAGGATTTGATTTGCGGGATTTCGGGGGGTGTTTATTCGGGTGTGTTCTCCGATTTGGATGGCATTAGGAGACTTAATGGTGTCTCGGTTCTCACAATCTTCCGTTTCTTTGGTCTCCAATCATCGCTACGACGAAGACTGTGTGTCTAGCCACGGTGACGGTGATTCGTCAATCCCCTCGCGGAGGAAGGATTCTGATACTACCAGCAGTATCTACGGAAATGGCACATCGGAGAGAGCCGCCACCGCCACCAGCATGGCATACTTGCCTCAGACTATCGTGCTCTGCGAGCTTAGACACGACGCATCCGAGGCTTCTGCGCCCTTGGGGACTTCCGAGAGCTTAGTATTGGCCCCCAAATGGCGGCTTAAAGAGCGAGTAAGTTTACAATCGAACATTTCTTAGCTGTAAGTATGTTAGACTAGCTTGTGGATTGATCTTTCTGTTTAGTGAAATTGAGGATGGAATAGGAGCGTAGAAGAAGTACATTATCTCAAATTCAAGATACAATCTTCTCACTTCAATCCCAATGTCTGTTCAGAAATAATTCAATTTCCCAGCATAAGCTAAACCGGACATTTATTGGATCTGTTTGCTAGGGTAATTATTGCAAGTCTCATTTTCTTTGCTGACTTTTATTCTTCGTCTTTGCAGATGAAAACAGGATGTGTAGCTCTAGTTCTGTGTTTAAACATTACGGTTGATCCGCCAGATGTTATAAAGATATCTCCGTGTGCTAGAATTGAGGCTTGGATAGGTTAAGCCTTCGGCCAACTCAACCCTATTACAGTTTTTCTGTGTGCTTATCCTTTTTTCTTAGTCGCCATAATCAATTTTCCTCTCTTTTATTTGTATGGCAGACCCATTTTCCATGGCCCCGCCAAAAGCTCTCGAGACTATTGGAAAAAATTTGAGCTCTCAGTATGAAAGATGGCAACCAAGGGTGGTTACTTTATTTCCCTGCATTTTATCTTTGTTGTTTGTCAAGTTACGTTCTTCATTTTTATTTTATAATCTCTGTCAGGCCCGCTATAAGGTTCAATTAGATCCGACAGTAGATGAAGTCAGGAAGCTGTGCTTGACTTGTCGGAAATATGCAAAGACCGAGAGAGTTCTCTTCCATTATAATGGGCATGGTGTGCCAAAGCCTACAGCTAATGGTGAAATTTGGGTGTTCAACAAGGTCTGTTTTTTCTTTTCTCTACCATGTTCTTGTCACTTTTCATCTGTTACCACGTACTGATTGATCCTGTATTTGAGCAGAGTTATACGCAGTACATTCCATTGCCAATCAGTGAGCTTGATTCCTGGTTGAAGACACCATCCATCTATGTTTTTGACTGCTCTGCTGCTAGGATGATTCTGAATGCCTTTGCAGAGGTAAAGGAAACGACCACTTTACCCATGTTACACATCCTTCTGTCGAGTTTAAGACTTGATTCTGCAATTGGCGTTCCATAAACTGATGAATTCATTTTTTCTTTATGGCAGCTTCATGATTGGGGTTCTTCTGGTTCCTCTGGATCCTCAAGGGACTGCATTCTACTTGCTGCTTGTGATGTACATGAGACACTTCCGCAGAGCGTTGAATTTCCAGCTGACGTTTTTACTTCTTGCCTCACGACACCCATTAAAATGGCGTTGAAATGGTAAATCCTCTTTTCATCTCTGACTTTTTTTTTGCGAACTCATGTTTTCTTTCTACAAAACGTTCTTTAAGTTCCATCAAGCTAGTTTATAGATTCTTAGTTTGCATGTTCTTGACTCATCATGAGGTAAGCTCAAAACTATTTGGCATAAGAATTTCTGATGAGACCAAAAGGATCGTGATATTTTAATTAGAAGACCCTCTGCATATGTTTTAGTTTTTTGGGGTGAGTAAAGCAGCATATAATGATAGTTTCGAAATAATCTGTACTGATACTTACTTATAATTTACCATATTGATTTGCATATGAAAGTTTACTGATGTATGGTTTGCCTTAACCTTTTCTGTTGGTCGCTAAGTATTTCTGATGAGGCGAAAAGAGTCATGATGTTATCCTGATAAATAGCCTTTTCCTCCTACGATAATTATTCTATAACTCATTGCTACTGAGGTTGCGCAGATTCATTTCTAGGCTCCCTTATGACTTTTTACTATTAAATAGATTACTACATTATGTTGAATGCGTTTGATTTATGTCCATATGGAACTATGAAGTTCAGTTTAGCTTGCAGCTTTCACAAGAGGCTTTCCATTGCAGGTTCTGCAGGCGTTCTCTTCTGAAAGAAATTATCGATGAATCACTTATTGACAGGATTCCAGGCCGCCAAAATGACCGTAAGACATTGTTAGGGGAGTTGAACTGGATTTTCACAGCAGTGACGGATACTATTGCATGGAATGTGCTTCCTCATGGTATTTCTCCAAACTTTCTGCATAATGTATTAAGGCCAAATCTCTTTAAGTTGACTTGTTTATACATCTCTGTCTGTTCTCATGAATCTTGGTTTTACCCTGCAGAACTTTTCCAGAGATTATTCAGACAGGATTTGTTGGTCGCTAGCCTTTTCCGAAATTTCTTACTTGCTGAGAGAATAATGCGGTCCGCAAATTGTAATCCAATATCTCACCCTATGCTGCCTCCTACGCATCAACATCATATGTGGTATTCAAGAAGAACCCTATTCTTCAGTTAGATTAAATGTTATGTGTCTAGATTATTTTCTTAGGTAGTTGTTACGTGCTTTTCAGGGATGCATGGGACATGGCTGCTGAAATCTGCCTTTCTCGCCTTCCCCAACTTGTTCTGGACCCAAACGCAGAGTTCCAGGTTTGTTTTGCCTTATATAGTTTACTTGTAGCTGTATAAGACGGTGCTGTCTTGATGATAATACTTGTTTCTTTCTTTTTTTTAGCCAAGTCCATTTTTTACGGAGCAACTGACAGCTTTTGAGGTGTGGCTTGATCATGGATCTGAGCATAAGAAGCCACCAGAGCAGCTGCCTATTGTTCTTCAGGTGCAACCTAAATTTCTGTACTCATATCCATTTTTTGTTTGAGAGAGCCATATTCATTTCCCATTTTTGCACACC